TTAAACTAGGGTGGCCGTACATCCTCTTTTCCCCGGACATGTCCACTTTTCGCTCTCTGTCCGGGCGTCCGGACTGGAGTTTCTTGTATTGAAGAAAATGTCCGGCTTTTCATCCAGGAGCAGGGATCGAATTATGGGGGAGATGGATATCCTACACATCCAGGGGAGCCGGAAAAAAGTTTACTACTGATATTACATCATTTATGGACTCTTCTGAGAAGAGAGCACAGAGAGCAGCACAGCGCTGCATTGTTGCGCAGCGATCCAGGCTGCTGCTTCCAGCGCACGGTCCATTCTCAAAGTGGCGCAACCAAAAAACTATAATTAGCACACGATCATTCATGTCCGCACATGTTCTCTATTTTCTGTCTTATTTGCGCCTGAAGCGCTCTACCACTGCGGAGCTCATCACCTGTGCTGCAGTGATTTCACCTCACTGACGCAACATCGAAACGCGCACTCCGCTTTGCAGTCAGGAGATCCCTTTGATCTACTCAAAAGTAACTGATGAGGTGAAAAAGTAAGAATCCAGGCAGCAGATTTTCTGGAGAGTTTAGAGGAGATGCAGGAAGATGAGAGACAGACAGGACAGGAAATAGTTAAATAAAAACAAGAAAACAAAACAAAGTGTTGAAAAGTAAAATGTAGGTAGATTTATCTCCACTACACGTTTTTACCTGTATAAAACAATAAGTTATACACACGTCATATTTATACATCTGATACAATTCAGATCACCTTCAAAACTCAGTCACACACCCAGGGCCGTTTCAAGACATTTTGGGGGCCAAGGCAAAATGACCCCCCCCCCCCACCCCCCCCCCCCCACCCCCATAACTGGGCTCCACAGAAGCCTCTGTGTAATTCTTACCCTCTCCAGTAGTGTTAGTTATATGGTGTTTATAAAAGCTCCTCAGACATCGCTGGCATGTTATAATATTATCAGATGAAAAACTAAATTATCAGACATGCTGTCTCACCTGCTTCTTTTCTAAACTTGCAAAAAGTAACAAAACCATTTGAAAGCCACTATTTGTTATTCTCTGAAAGTTTCCATGGAGTGTGCGACAACTTATTTTTTCATTGATCCTATCATCTAATCTCACAGCTGAAACAAGCATCCTTAATAATCTGTGCACAGGTAGCTTACCGATGCTGTAGTAAAACAAAAGGTATAATAATTCCTTATTAATAAAACCTTGTTGCAGCACTAAAGCAGAAAAATGAGATTTTGCAGTAAATATGCTAAATATTTACATATTAATTGTTTTAAAGCCCTTTTATTGGCAGAATCTGATATTAATTTAGTTCTTACAAAAAAATGGGTCCCAACATAGTTGCGTTGCTATAGTGTGATGTCATAGGCACAGATTTCCTGTCCTCTTGTTTGGAAATGGAAATATGATCACCCTGTATTAAACAAACTGTCCACCCGGGCTTTTGCGCTGCACAGAGACGCTTCGCTGCCTACGACTGAACGTCAGTTGAGAGTCAGTCTCATGCAGACTGACCAATGAAGAGAGGGCCTCAAGTTAAGACCCTCTCCTCATTGGTCAGTCCACACGAGGTGGGTCAAAGGTTACCCTGTGCAGGTTACGTGACGTCAGGCATTCAAGTATTGAGTATATTTACTGCATATTACAGTAAAATATTCTGTATGTGACCATATTATGGTGATCCTTGGGTCGTGATGATGGAGCCCTTGAATATTGTTGCCCAGGGTACAACAAAGTGTTAATCTGGCCCTGCAGCCGCTCACCAACACTCGTGTGTGTGTGTGAGCGTCAGAAGGCTGAACAATAACCTGTAGAATAATTAAAGTCATCATGCTAGAGCAGCTTTCTCTGTGGTGGACCACACCAGCTTCTGCCACATTAAATAATTATAATAATAATAATAAATCACACACCATTCTGTGAACATTTTAATTTCCTTTCTGAACTATTTCTGTTGAGTTTTAATGTTTAAAATCTGTTAGACTGTTACTGACAGCAGTTACATTTAAGTTTCACTTTCTGTTCTGACTGAATGCTGCTGCAGCATGGAGGTGTAGTTCTCAGTCATCCTGGACATGATCATCCTGAGAGTTTTAGCTGAAAACAGCTGGACATTTCTGGATATGTTGGAGACATTTAGCCTCTCATCCCAGAGGCTTCTTCCAGACTTTGCTTGTGGTCAGAAACAAACACACTGGTTGTGCTGCAAGTCTTTTTCTGTTTTTCTCCAAAACATGTTTTTGTCTAAATTAAGGTGATGTTATTGTTCATAGAATTAAAATTCATGTTGAAGTTAAGATTATTTCATCAATTAGGACCTGTGGTTAGCTGGCTCATGTAAAGCATGTCATGTCTTGAAAGAATCGGAATCGGGAATCGATAGGAACCGGAATCGAAACGAGGAATTGGAATTAGAATCGTTCAAAATCAAACGATGCCCAACCCTACACGTGACCGAGTTAAGCTTTTGCAGACATTTTCTAGTTGGTGATGGGTTTATATTAAATATGAAGGTGCTGATAGGAGTTTTTTTTTCTCAGACAGTTGGTTTAAACTCCAGTAAAGTACTTTGCATAACCGTCCATTACTTAGCCCCCCTGCAAAACCCAGAGCTGCAGTCAGCGAAGATCATCAGAGGTGTTGGTCTAAGCTGTGTCAGCACCTATAAACTGAGTAAGGTTTAGTGTTTGTATCAAGTTTACAAACCTCCAATAAGTGAAAGAGCAGGCAGTCATCAGCTCGATTCTAGATAGCCACCAGCCAGTCAACATGATCACACACCAGAACTGTCCCATTGGTGTAAAATTTGGCATGCCAGCAGTTAGGAGTCCTCCATATCATGTAAACAAGTACCGCAAATCGATCAAGATTACATATTTACCTGGAAGCCCTACCGCTTAGTGGCGGGCAGTGTAATCTTGCAATTCAGGGCGCCTCAGAGCAGCTGTGGCTACATTGTAGCTCATCCCCACCAGCGTGTGAATGTGACTGACTGTGTTGTCAAGCGCCTTGGGGGGTTGTAGAACCCTAAGAAGGTGCTATACAAATGCAGATCATGAACAATTTACTTAATTTAACTGAAAGAAAATTCACAAAACAATTAAATAAGTATTGAAAACATTTTCTTCAGTAGCTATACAACAATAATAAAATAAAATTGATGCTAAGCTTTTGCAATACTTAGATCAGTCTCAAGGAGGCAGCAGGCCTGTACACAATTAAATGGAGCAGAAGCTTGAGGATCGTACTAATCCTGTTAAAGAGATAGAGGTCCCAGAAACGTGGGAATATGTGGAGTGGATATGATGCGTTTGCCTTTCAATGTGGCGACGGTGGCACAGGAGTTAAGTTCTCGCCCTGTCGCTGTGTCCCTGGGCAAGACACTTAACCCCCTTTCCTGCTGGTGGTGGTCGGAGGGACCGGTGGCGCCAGTGCTCGGCAGCCTCGCCTCTGTCAGTGCACCCCAGGGCAGCTGTGGCTACATCGTAGCTCATCCCCATCAGCGTGTGAATGTGTGTGTGAATGACTGATTGTGTTGTAAAGTGCCTTGGGGGTTCCAGGACTCTAGAGGGTGCTATGTCAAATACAGGGCATTTACCATTTCAAGGGTTAGAACTTCTGTTGTTGAAAAAACCAAACAAACATTTCTGGACCTTTTCCACATACATAGTTTTTGCTATTTTCAAATGTGACATAAAATTCAGTTTTGAATCACGTAAATCAAAGGTGCCCACAATGTCTCACTTAGTGGGAACCTTTTGAAATGAGCAGTTCAAAGTCATCTTCCTACTGCACAATTCACCTCCTCCCTCCAAACACGAAGGCAGCTGCAAAATATGAACGTTTGTGTGTGGGTGGGGGGTGTTTAGCTGATGAGTTGGCTGTAGTTTTCATGTGTTATTAGCTAAACTCTGATTACTGGACAACCTGCTGTAACTCTTGAGCTTCTGCTGCTGGATGGACGAACGGAGATTTCACAGAATAACTGTAAGGACTGTTAAAAACAGTTTAGGCTAATTGTGGAAACAGTTGGAAGCAGCGAGGCTACATTAATATATTTCAGTAAACACGTAAGGTTCTCTGCAGCAATGGCTTGTGGGTAATTTGATTGACTTTAGCTTGCAGAAATAAAACAGTAATGTACTTGTAAAAGTTGAGATAAGCAGAAGTCAGAATCACCTTGTGGTGGTTTTATAGCCAGAACTGGATGAACCTCACACCGTCTATAGATGTGTGAACTGACTGTTGTTTAGTCCCACCTCTTCCCCATTGTACTTTTTTACTTCTGCTGAGTTCAGTTTGAGTTTAATGAGAAAACCAGAAGCTCGCTGCTGCTTTTTAACTTTCTGTTTTTCTTCCCTCGCTCTGAGAGGAGGAGAGATGTAATCAGTTACTTTTCCTGTGCTGGAAGTACTCTAGCAGCAGGTGAGGGGGAGAAAGAGCGGGATGAGGGGATGAAAAGCGGTAGCGGCAGAGGGAACAATCTGTACCTGTATGTGAGCCAAGCAGACTCAGACAGGTTCGTCCAGCCAGCATTCATCATGTCCTCTTCTCTTGGTCTTTAACCCCACCCCTAACTTCTTTCAGGACAAACACCCAAATGTTCACACCTTTTTTTTTCTTGTGGCATCCCTGACGTGCTCCTTCAGCACCTCTTAAAATGCAATGTGTGTCCGACACAAACTGGCCACCATTATCCGTCGCCACAGCAACCAAACAACACAATTAGAGCAAGGAAGAAGAAAAAAAGGAAGGAAGAAAGAAAAAGTAAGAAAGAAGGTCTTTGTTTTTTTTAGGTTAACGGTGTGATTAAGTGGTTGGAAACAAACTGAAACAACAAGAACATGAACGTGGCAGAAGGAAGAGAAGTGGAGGATGAGGTCAGACTGTTTTGCAGCCCTGAACAGAAAAGTCTTTTAAGCATAAATGACAGATTGTGATTGGCTCCTGGGAGGAGGTGGGAGGGCTCTGTGGAGGCTTACAGATTCACTCTGGAGACACATCTTAACTTTTAGAGCCATTTTTATTCTTATCTTATAGATTTACAGACAGCGCAGCTGCTTGTGACATACACACCTTACAGGATGGATTAGTTCACCTGTTTATGTACAAATTCAGAATTTTAAAAATATTATGTGCAGAAGGTTGCTCAGCCACTTAAACCCATCTGACCCACTTCATGTTTCTCCAGAATCCTGAACTGGTTCTAAAACTTCATGTCAAGCTTCTTTTGTATGGATTTAGGGGCTCAAGGCTTAAAAACACATCTATGTCTGCTTTAATCAGCCAAAGAAACAAAACAAACAAAAAAATACAGGATCATATCCAAACACTCCAGTCCTGTCCAACAATGGCTCCTGGCCATCATATTTTACATTTTATAGTTCACCAACACAGAGCAAAAACATGAACCAGAGTCAAGAAAAGGAAGGCAAGCCGCTCTCTCAGCCTGTTAAGAGGAAGGCCAATCCCTCTGTTTGCTGTGCTTGTGTGTGAAGTGGCTGGCTCCAGCCGCGCTGTGGCTCGCTACGACAATTATGGGTTTGACCGTGCAAACACTTTTCCTCCTTCCACCACGCACACAGGGTGGCCCAGCGGCGGTTACGCTCCACGTTTCAAATGGCAACCACTGTGTGGTTTTCTCCGAGCCGTGAGCTAATCCACCGGCCCTGGATAATTATTGCAGTCTGCAGATGGAGTTAGCGTGAAACAGGAAGGAGCTAACGAAGCAAACAGCTCCTTCTTCCTCTAGTTTCAGAGAACAAGAATAAACATTTGTTTAGTCTGTTTAGGTCCAGAGCAAAGTCAAATGTCTCCCAGGTTGTCATAAATGATATCTGGTGATTTTATTGGTGGCTTTTGGTTCGGTTTGAACCACAGATTAGCAGGTGGAGGCTTCTGCTTAGACACTTTGCTGTATACCTCCATCCCCCCTCCTCCTGAGCTCCACTGGTTGTTGTTGTTGTTTACGTTACTAGTAGGAGCCCCATTTTTTCCTGCAGGCAGTGGCACCGGATCCTTCCGAGCAAAAGCGCCCTTGTTCGGCTTGGGGGCAGTGGCAGGTTTGGGCCACCTTGGCGCCGGAGGCTGCGGTGTTCCACGATTTGTGCCTGACTGAAATGGGGACTGTCTTTGGGGCCCCTCTGGTCCTGACAGAAGCCCCACCTCTTCCTGCCTCTTCTGACTGGGAGGCTCCAAACGAGCCTCGTCATAAATACTCGTCGGTATTCTGCTCCCTTTGGCGCAGCCCTCCGGTTCATCGTATATGTGATCCAAAGACGGAGGAGGTTGAGATGAAGTCCCGTCTGCTTTCCCTCCTGTGGGCCTCTTATTCTTCATCCCTCTTGCAGCACCTTTTCCTCCTCCATTCAGGTTCAGAGCACTTGTTTTCTCGTTTAGGTCCTGGCCAATCTGGTCATACACGTGTGAATACAGGTCTGGTACCTTTCTGTGGTTGTTTACCCTATGATGGTCTCCTTGGACACCAGACACGTCATCTGCAGCTGATCGATGGCGCGGGGTTGGCACCGGGGGTGTGCATGGGCTGGGGGTTTGGTTCTGAACTTTAATGCTGTCCACTGGGTCTGAATAGAGACAGTCAGGGCTGTCCAAAGGAAGACGAACTGAATCTGCCGGCTCAGAGTAAAAGCCTGCATTTTCATCAACTTTGCCTCTTGGAGACCGTGGAGGTGTCCCGTTTCCTCCCAAGACCCCCAACATCACTGGGGGCTCTGGTAAACTCCTCCCTTTCTGTCCGTGTCCTTGCCCCCTTCCACCAGACCCTGCTCCATCACCCCATTCTCTCTTCCCGAGAACGCCATCAGCCGAGCCTGGTTTACTACCACCAGAGTCTCCGTCCGCTTCCCTACTGCTGCAGCTGCTGCTGTCCCCGCTTACTGAAGTCACACCGCTGGGAAAGGCGTTCAGTATGTGCTGCAGTGACGAGGGGCAGTCGGAGTCAAAGTTGTGAGGGCAGCTGAGGTGGCGCTCCTCAGACAGAGCTTTCTGCGACTGGATAGCCTGGTCCACTAGCGTGAAAATCTCATTGCCTTGTTTGGTCTCGAAGGTGAAGCTACCGGGACCAGAGTCGCAACGGCGTCCAGCTTCGAAAGAGAACATCAACTAGAGAAAAAGAGGAAAACATAAAACAAAATGAAACACCACAAATGTTACAGGAAGAAGGAAGTCGAGTTCCTTCTACAGCAATCACTCATTTTACAGGAGTTTGTTGTTCTTGTAGCATCGGCCGTTGCTACATTTGACCCAAAAACAGGTCAGTCGTCTGTTTCATGTATAATAACACTGAGGCCTAAACTGGTCCTGTAAACAAACCAAGCCTTATAAAGGTCATCGTCTAACTTTGACACATCAAAGTGACACAGAAAAAACCACAAGCGATGAAACTAAATATATTCTGACCACAAGCAGATAAACTGATGCTATTTTTGCTCACTTTGTGTGATCACTTGTTGCAGTCTGAGCCTAACGTTAACTTCCTCTTTATATTTGCTTTGCACTTACCCGATCCCTGCCGTATCTTCTCAGCAGCTTGTAGGGCCAAACCATGATGTTCCTCTTTGTCTTCGGCTCCTTTAGGATCAACACGTCACTTTCTGCTTTCAGCCAGTAGCTCCCCGTCAGGCCGCAACGCTCTGACGCCTCGGTACGTTGGATGGTCACCCAGAACTCGTTTACTGCAAAGAAAGAGGCCTATTAACTAGCCAGATTCCCCATAAAAGAGTCTCTTTTTGGTTTTATCTGCACTATAAAGCTTAAAACGTGCACAGATGAGTGTCCTCACCCTCCTCTCTGGAGTAGTAGATTAGATTTTCAGACATCTGCAAATCAGGAGGCCCTCCGTTACAGTCGGACACATTGCTGCTCCTGCTACCACCCTGACGATCACATACACCTTCATTGCATCTTAAATCTGTGTATTACCTTCGCAGATTTAGCTAATTGTGCATGTGTGTGCATAAAAACAAAAGGACAAAAGCCACAGGGTGTTCAACAGACTGAAAGGAAAGTTTAGAGAGGCTGAGAGTGCAACAGAAAACAAACCAGATTAATTCTCATTCCTGGAAACTTCCTCTGGCTTCCTCTCTGAAGGACTGCGTGTGAGCAAATGCAACAGAAACCCCAAAGGGTTTGTGGCTAGATCTGAACAACATTAAAAAAGAACAAAAAAGTTCCTTTTTTTCACCAAACTTGGAAGATTGTCTTTTTCTGTGTGATTTTGTTTAGTCACATTTAAGCTGAAAGACTGAAGAGCTGAGATAAAAGTCAGACAAAAGGAAAGCGTGTTCAAACCCAACAAAGGAAGTGTTTAAAAAGTCTTCCACCCACGTCTTAGTCACTTAACCGCTTCCTTTTAGCAAACTGACTGGTCATCCGGTTTTTGACACACACACACACTGGGCTCACCTGAAACGCAATGTCACACATGGTGTCCATCCAATCCTTGGCCATGGTCTTTTCAGCAGCAAACACGTGCATCTTGTCGTTTGTTTCCACGCAAAACGCTGCCATGTTTTCTTTGGGGCAGGTCTCAGTCAGAGCAGGTAGGATGGAGATGCACTCTGATAGGCGAATGATCTTCTTGTCCAGCTTTCTGGTTTTCTCGTTGGAGGAGCCTCCTGAGCCACCAATGGAGCCACTGGAGCCTGAAGGCGAATCAAAGAACTCTAGACGGGCGATGCCGTTTTGGCTGGCGGGGTAGAGCACAAACCAGTTCTTCTTCCATTTCTAAGGGGAGAAAACCAAAAAGGTACTGAAGCTGCACCAATGAAGTGACAAAAGTAGAAAAACTGCACACTGTTGTATTCTTGAACTTCCTTAAATGGGGCTTTCAGAGATCTTGGAGATCATTTAGCCTTCTTTAAGTTGTTGGACAGGTTCTATTGACGTAATTTCCTAATTTTAGAGGTCCCAGATGTGGATTAAAGAGAAACTATCTAGCTGTGTTTCTACTAGAGATTCAGGACATTTACAGAAGGGGGGAAGGTGTAAGAAAATAAGATGGCTCAGCCCTCCATAAAAAATTGGCCCTTTAGCGACTGATTTGGAAGTTAGTGACTTCACTGATCAAGGCCAAAAGGCGTCCACAGACATAGATGTAGACAATAAAGACATTCTGTCAAAGTACGCAGTACTTTACACCATTCTGAGGATGCATTAAGGAGTGGCTGTGTGACATAAAAAGTGGTGTTCAATGACAAGAAGAAACACAATTTTTATGGTGCTCAGTAAGAGACCAAAAAGTGGTGTAAATCATGGCGTTGTAGGGGTATTTCCTCTGTATTGTCTGTCTTTGGGAGTTTAGAAACTGCGATTATAAAACAATGCCTCTTATTTTCTTTTCCTTCCATTCTGATTCACCAGCAACTTTTCTAATATTACAACTGCTAGTTGTTTTGCAATTCTACTGGACCATTTCCAAGTGTATACTGTACACCACATAAGTCAGACGCAAGGCCCGCGGGCCAAATGCAGCCCGCGGAGCATTTTTATGTGGCCCGTGAGATAAATATCAAAAATATATTAAAACGGGCCCGCTGGCCGATTTTACCGCAAAGACTACAACTCCCAGGATGCTTTGCGGCATCAGCGGGGAGCCGACGCGCCCCCTCCTTTGTGTTTTTTTCCAGCGCCTGCTGCCGGGTGTCTGCAGCTCCGCTGTCTCGGACAAACTAAACACTCCTCTCACTCAGCGCCGAGTTCACTCAGCTATTTTCTGACGTTGAAGCCCAGAAACGGAGATTCTAGCCGCTCAGTAATGTGTTCACGACTGAAAGAGAAAGTTTTCAAACTAACGCCCAGACAGAGAAGATATAACTCCAGCGAGCAGCGACACGCTCAAACCAGCTCGGTTCTGTGGCTGCTGTCGTTGTGTTTCCTCCCCGACACACAACAACGTGGTCAAGCTGCTCAGACATGTTCATCAGCACAAACCTATGTGAGCAGCTGTTGTCATCTAATGTTGTCATTATCATGATGAAGATGAACAAAACAACAGGAGCCTCCTCCTCAGCTCAGGCCAGCCCCATGATGCAGGTATCTGGCTGGAACAGGTGAGAATCACAGTAAACCAGTGGAGCAAACTGAGCTTTAAATATGTTGGTTTTATGCTCTTTTTCTGCTTCAAAACATGAAAGTTAACAGGTGAGATGTTGCATTTTCATTTAAGATAAAATTATATTTTTATTTTGTTTTTGGCACGTGAGAAAAGATTTAACCTACAGTAAACAGGAAGTGGAAAGGCTGCAGATAGATGAATAGAATAGAAAATCCCTTTATTGTTCCTCAGTGGGGAAAGCTAGACGTCACAGCAGCGATGACACTTATTACAGGAGAAAAAAATGAGAATAAAAAATAAGAAAAATGAATAAACAAGAAAACATAAATCCTGAATAGATTTTAAAAATGCTGATTATGTCACAACAAGTACTGAATATTTTTATTTTATTTAAAACTGACTTGCTCGTGTGTAATTTGGTTATTCCACATTCAGTGTTAATGCAGAAATATGTTTGTTTCCTAATTAAAAGATTCAAAATTGTATACATGTTGATAAAGAAAATGTGCAAATTTGCCGTCACTTTTCCAAAAAATATTAAGTTTGGCCCTCGACTCCGTCCCAGAGTTTCATTTCGGCCCCGTGTGAGTTTGAGTTTGACACCACTGCTGTACACCATGGCAGGTACTCATTTAGCTCCTGAAATGACCCAGAAAGTGGTCCTTTTGGGCCAGCCCGCTGAAATGGAGACACTTGTTGGTGGTAGTCAGGTGGCCGTCAGCGCCAAATGGCAGCCTCGCCTCTGTCAGACAGCCCCAGGGCGGCTGTGGCTACAAAGTAGCTTACCATCACTGGCAGTGTGTGAATGTGAGAGTGTGTGAGTGAGTGTCCTGAAAAGCGCATATAAGTTCAATGCATTATTATTATTATTATTTATGTGCATACCGTGAAGGTCGGGTAAATACTTTCACCTAATTCCGATCCTTTGAAATTCACGTGATCGGGCCTGATTTCCAATCACGTGATTGGATCGGAGCATTCCTAGCTGGAAGGATGTGAGCTGATGTTGGCAAACAGAAAGAACATTAGACACTCATCCTTCTGTTAACATCTGATATGAGACAGACAAATAGCTATCTAACTAGGTTTTAGACTAAGAACAAAAGTGCAAATGTGACCACAAATAAGTAAAAATGTGAGGAGAAAACGCAGAATGCACCAGTTTTCCATGAGTATTGGATCAGAGTTCTACAGGAGGAGTATTGTGATCAATCAGATGTGTCCTGACTGAACTGCTGATTGCATCAGTTTCCGTCTGCAGTAACAGGATTACTGACACTTCCTCCACAATCAAAGCCTTAGTTTCTAATATTTAAGAAGTTATTATTACTCAGAATTAATAGTACAAATATGTTCAGAGAGACAATTCAAGAGTAAGAAACCTTCGATTGACTGACTGCACCCTAAAACAATGGGACTAAAACTCCAGACAGCCTGATTTCATTACAAAGGCAGGACTTAAATAGTGTTTTATTCATGGTCATGTGGTAAAAGTATCGTTCCACCACATTTAGCAGTAAAAATCTCATTTTTTATTACACAAATGTTTAATTATTGAATATTTTTGGTTATTAAAGAGCACAATAAAACTCTGTAGTTTGAACTAGTTTTTGTTAAATGAAAAACCACACAGTATTTCCTATGACTCACAATGTAACTTTCATCTTCAAGTCACTGTAACTTTTGTCATTAATCTTTTCGTAGAGACATAACAATGTGAAAACTTTTATCAGGAATCCGTGTGGAAAATTTTCATAAATTTTAGGTAAAAAAAGTGAACAAAATTCTGTTTTAGAGACAAAAACACCCAGAAGTCAAACTTTTATCCACTGTATCTTGTTATTGGTCATACGTTTAGACCAAATTAAGTTGATGCTTTGCTAACAGTGATCGGTCAATTGAACTCTCAACAATTGTTTTTTATAATAGTTGGTTGATTCACTGTTGCTAAATGTCCTTGGATAGAAATCTGGTTTAGTAGGTTAAAGCTTTAAAGAAATTGAACTGCACCTAAAAGCTGTGACTGCCGGAGAATCACTAAAAACCTGGAAATGTAAGTTAAAACATCTAGTGGCTAACATTGGGACCTTGAGCCCCAGAATCTGAATCATGTGATATTCTGGCTTTGTTTTTGTAAAACAGAAATGGAGTCTTTAGTATGACAACAAGTCTTTCAGTTTACGACATCGCTGGAACAACAGAAATTATGACACGTCTCTAAATAAGGTAAAATTTTATAGTGCAGAGTGGAGACAGCCCATAGAAGCACTGATTTGATCTCATTTCAGAGAAAAATAGAACAGGTTAGATGCACCTAATAAATAAAATTACTAACAAACTCAGGAATCTGTTTCTTTGCTTCACTGTTCTGGTGCTGAAAATATCACTTATGCGGATCAAAGGAGATACACAGATGAATGCACCTCTTATTTATTATTTGGAGACTACATTTACTGCAGCTGGCAGAGACAGAGGTGTTTTCTATTGATACACGGAATTTACAGAATCATTTTAAATGTTAATAGGGGAAGACTGCAGGAGGGAGCAGTAAAATACAGGGGTCCCCACCAAAACAAGAAACTTTACGAGTCTGATGAAACCCGCTGGTTTTCCATCAGGCAGTCACGGGGCAGCTCCAACGACCCAGTGGCTGTGCTGGGTCAATGTTATCGAGCTCAGTCCGGCTCGGCCGTGAACGGGCCGAGGCGGCGTCGTGCTCTGCTTAAGAAGAGGTGTTATTTTCCCGCTTCAGAAGAAGCGTCCAACGTGTTTTGACGCTTTCTCTGAGACATGTCACGTCGCTAAGTTGTTAGCGCCGCGCGCTAACACGTCAATAGTGCAACGTAACTGCTGGAGGTTTTAAGGGTTCAGATGAAAACACCCGAGCTCTCAGGCTGCTCACACATCGATCTTAAGTTGTCGCCGTTGCGCTCACGCCGTAATACAGTATTAGATGCGGTTAAAGTCAGACATGAAAAAATAAATTTTACATGAATAAGTGATGCTTAGCCTGGTGTGGGAGGAAACCCTGTCAAGATCGTCAACACTCATTTATCTTAATGCTACTGAATCATGTAAACCAAAAAGCATTATATCCACTGCTACCTTTCTAATTTTAAACTCAGTAACTTATGCTGTAACTTCACCTTGCCCTGCCTGCTCCTCCTTGCTGCCCGCCGGCTGTGATCACAAGCGACAACATAGTAGTTCCCGCTGCTTCTTCGGGAAACAGCGCAAAAAAACCCCAAAACTTGGGATCTTGTAGGCGTGGCGGTGGGATTTCAGCCGTGGCGGCCCGCCACGGCTACGCCTATGTAAGGGAAACCCTGATGCATCTTGGTCGTAACAGGTTTGCCATTTTGCCTCGAGAAAGTACAATGACATCAGGGGCGTGTCCAGGGAGTGGCCTGGGGTAACGCATGCCACCCTTGGAATCTGATTGGCCACCCCAGGTGCCACCACACTGATTTACCTTTACAGAGCAAATTGCAGGTAAACATTTTTTTTCTCTAATTCATATAAAATGCTGTCCAAAAAATACTATTTAAAAAGCTTATTGTGGATATTTTGTTTCAAAATACATAACAGCAGAGTTTTTCTAGTAGAACGTGGCCTTTCTCAGCAAAGCTTTTTTCTAAATCTGAACCTCTGACGTAACCAAAGGGAGTTA